ATAAGGAACGGAAACTTGAAGATCAGACTGCATCGGCTGCACTTTATTTGTTTGTTCTTGCGCTCGCCATGATTTTTATGATGAACATGCAATTGCCGGACACTGATGGCTTCATGAGTTCCTTCGATCGGCCAGTTGGTTCTCTCAATTCGAGGCATATAAAGCTTGACAATTTATGGGCTATTCTCCGCAGCGCTTTGATTTTGCGTTGGTCTTACTTTCGACGAGATTGGAAAATGTTGCATGTCTGTCGATTAGCCGCCAGCAGGAGAAATATCTTCAGCTCTTGCAGTTATTGCTGAGCGCCCGCGCTCTGGCAATTATTCACAATATCGTTTAAATTATTGCCAAGCGCATTGGCTTCGGACTTTGCTGAACGTGTTGTTTTCTAGTTTGTGAGCTTGTAAATTTTTGTGCCCCTGCTGATGAGGTTGTTGTGGCTGTTGTTTTAGCTGTTGCAGTCTCAACCCAGAAGCGTTTTGCCATCACAGAGTTCCGGAGCCCGGACCTTCGAGGGGAAGCCGATGCCGACGAAGCCACCTCTCACATCATGAGCACGCAATCGCAGCGCCGCCATCTCAACGTCAGCCACATGCAATGGCCAACCGCTGAATGCACCACATGTGGCCTCTTGGGCAAAGGGATCCCCGAAGATCTGCGAATCGGTGGATCCACATTATCAGAGGGACTGGGCATGCGGCCACAATCGTTTGGTGCTAATAGACTACAATTATGAGGTTTTCAAGGTGATAAGGCAGCACACATTTGAAGATGGAAGCTGGTTGAAATAATCCACCAATTTAAATTTTAAAATGTTATTTTTTGTATCATTTTTTTATCAAAAATCGTTGGAGCTTTATCACTTTAAGTTACGTAAGAATTCAGTGGCTTAGAAAGGATTTGGTTGAAACGACTGAAAACTATATTCTGCAAAGGATTTCTTCCAAGAGTGGAATCATAGTCTCAACTTTACACCCAGAAAAAAAAATGACCTAAAATGTCAAAAAATGGCCTAGAATTTAGGTAAAATTGGCCTTAAACTGGGGCTAAGTCCTTAAATGGCCAAAAATTTAGGATTCCATAACCTAAAAATTTAGGCCATAAATGGCCTAAAATGGGGGTAATTTTTAACCTAGATTTGAGGTAATTGGCTGCCTAAAAATGTAAGAAAACTCCCAATCCAAAATTTTAGGCATTTAACGGCCTAAAATTCGAGTAATTTGTGGCCTTGATTCTAGGTTATGGGCTGCCTATAAACAACCCCATGTCCGATATTTAAGGCATCCAACGGCCTAAAATTTTGGCCAGCATTAACCTTAAATTTAAGCCTCTCATTTTGACCCCAGCCTAATTTTTAGGACAAATTTGACCTAAAAATTAAGGTAATAACTACCTTATTGTAAAAATAAATACAGATTTGTATTATTGTCTTTTATTTATTTCAATGTACTTCATTTTCAGTTATAACTAATTAAAATTGTTTTGGCTTAACATTGTTTTTATCTTTAAGAGCATGTATATGAATAGGCGGGTTAGTTATATTCTTAAGATTAAATATTTTATGTGTTCCATATCCGATGACCTCGTACCAATAATAACACAGGCCAACAGTGTTTTTGGTGCAGCCCTATGGGCATTAAATTGTGTTAATATAGACGGATATAAGCATATCTGCATACTTAGTTTTCGAGTTTAACGGGTGGTATTTGTGCAGTCGCGGTTTGAAAAAAGTAGCAACATTTCATATTTTCATTTAAGATATCTTCGAGGGTCTGTGCTCAGTTGTAATAAAACCTATGCCAAAAAATTGCTTAGATGCCCTTCTACATTATTGCACTTAAGGTTCCATCATAATGTGAGTCAATCACCGCCTATGAGCCATTGAAGTAATTTGTTCACCTCTATTTACAACCAACTTGATGCGGTGAACAGGCTTAAAAAAATACAAGGAAAAATATGTGCCCTAAAATATTTTACATGCATCTAGAGGCGTCTTTTCCCGAATTTTTGAGATAAATCCCACTATTGTACTTCGAAAAATGGAATTTATAGAATTTTTTCCGTAAGAATGGGAAAAGTAATAAGTATTTTAGAGTCACTCTTATGTAACGAGTTTGTCGTGATTTTACACAGTAGGCTTTTTAAAGATAACAGTGGCGTCGCCTTAAAATTGTGGTGGGGATTTTTTTTAAGGCATATTATCCCCTTAAAAATGTAATTTGTCTATGTTCGGCGCCTACTGCTAACCAAATTGAAAGGCACATTTTTACGAATGTGTCAGATATTTATGTAAAATGAGATTTAAAAATAGTTGTTACTTTTTAAGTTCTTACGGAAAAAATTCTATAAATTCCATCCTTCGACGTACAATCGTCTTATTTGTCTTAAAAATTCGGTGAAAGACGCCTCTAGATGCCTGTAAAATATTTTAGGGCATATATTTTTCCTTGTATTTTTTTAAGCGTGTTCACCGCATCAAGTTGGTTGGGAATAGAGGTGAACAAATTACTTCAATGGCTCATAGGCGGTGATTGACTCACATTATGATGGAACCTTAAGTGCAATAATGTAGAAGGGCATCTAAGCAATTTTTTGGCGTAGGTATCATTACAACTGAGCACAGACCCTCGAAGATATCTTAAATCATAAAATTAAATGTTGCTATTTTTTTCAAACCGCGATTGCCCAAATACCACCCGTTAAACGCGAAAACTAAGTATGCAGATATGCTTATATACGTCTATATTAACATGTTTTAATGCCAATAGGCCTGCACCTTTTAATAAAGTCCATTTTGTTGACCTGTGTAATTTGGAATAAATTGTGTAAGTAGCTCCTGAACAAATAAGTATGTTTCTTCTTCAAGTAAAATAACATCTTTTATAACATAATAATTATTAATATTTTTAAATATAACATATTTTTGTTTATAACGAAAACTAAAGTTCTTACAATAAGTAAAGCATTTTGCCGATGAAAAATCTAATTCAGGAAAGGCTTCTTGAAATTGTTGATAGTGAACTGAATTTTCAAATTTACACGATGTTTTAGTGTAAATAATATTTGGCTTTCTATAATTAAGAATCTTGTCAGCAAAGTTAAAGTTAATTTTATAAGCTAAGGAAATACACGCATTTTTTCTATTATTGATATTTTTAAGGTAAGATTTTAAATTTCGGTGCTTTGACTCAAACTGGAACGTCCAGAGATATCGAAGCGGTCCAGATTTTTTTATTATTCTACCGTAATGGCTTAAGAAGTGGTGTTTTGGCTTTAATGTATCATTAAAAAGTTCTATATATTTGGTATTATGATATATTATCAGTTCTTCTGTTTTTTTAATATCTTCATCAGTACAATCGAATAGTAAAAGATAATCAAGGAGCTCTAATAAGTTAATTACAAATTTCCAAACTGCATCTTCTGAAGAAATCTTGTCTGCAACCATAAAAGGAAAGTGAAATATAAAACAAAGCATTTCACGTGCAGACATCTTTATGGTATTCTTTTGCAAGTGTGACGACTTTAGAGGTGGAGATTGATTGTCAATTTCCGTTTCACCGTAATTTAAATTTTGCTTCCTTATATTTAAAAATTCCAAAGTGAAAACTTTTTGTTTAATAAAATATTTAACAATGTGGCAAACGTCGTATTTTAAAACTCCTTCAAAAACATCGTGAAGAATGTCCGAAGAATAGTTTTCAATCACGGAGAAGTCAGTGAGCCTATTAAAAATTGAATTTTCTCTCAAGCCAAAAGTTTGGTTGTTGCAGTCTTCTACGTAATCAGATTCACTTCTAATCAATTCGACATTTTCTGACGGGGAAGTATGAGTTTCTTCCTTTGACATTCTGCAAGTTCGGCAGAAGTATGTACTGGAAAAAGATCTGCTATATCCAAGAACGCAATTTAAAGCAAGATTATCTCCGATAACCAGACCCACAGTAAAATAAATAGTTCTAATTCCTTCATCAGTTTTGAGTTTGATACCATTCTGAGACAAGTCATTAAGCGTTTCTATTAAACTATAAAAACATCTATCATTTCCAAAAGTTTTAACAGTGGTAGATTGAAATAAGGCAGCACAAAATATTTCTCTATAGCCTAGTGGAGATGAAGGCAAAGACACATATGCAGCCAGCAAAGAGCCTGTATGTGAACCTAATGGGTTGTTGGTTTCAAAGTCGTCAAAATATAAAAATATTGGCATGCGAAACTCATCAGACGATCTATTATTAAATTTGGATTTCCATCGAAGGCCATTTATGAAATTTTTATAAGTAGATTGTTTTGCTAAGTAATTTAAATGGCTTTTATAATCGTCATAAACATAAGGAAGCTCAAAAAATTTTCTTAAATAGAATTTAAGAGGAAATACTACCGCTTTTATTTTGAGTGGACCCAGAGTCATCCGGTTTTCAGATCGCAACGATTGTACGGTATTATCAATAGTAACTATTTTTGCTGACTCCCACAAATCTTTGGATATTAGCTCTTTTATCATCATATATTCAGAATTACATTTCTGAAAGGGACTTTTGCAAAAATGTACTACCGATTTAAGTTTATCAGAAGCTTCAGAGCCAGAAGGGATAATTGCCAATATATTTTCCAGTTCATCTTTTATAGGCAATGTCATGAATTCCCTTACAGAGTTTTGCATTGTGATTGCCGTTTTTCTAGGAAACGACATGTCTGCGTAACTCTTTAGGCACATTTTTAAGGCCGAGCTCTTTAGATCTGGTTTTTCAGAGTCATTGGTTTGAACTGAAGCCGAATCTGTAGCATATTTAGATATCTCCGAAGTCGATGTTGTACTTGAGCAATCAAGACTTAAATCTGGTAGGCCGCTATTTAAAATCTCCTCTGGCGCAAAGTTCTCTATTTGAGAACTTTTCATATGTTTTATTAAGTTTTTATGGCAAGTAAAGCTTTGGCTACAATCAGCAAAAAAACTTTGTCGCGAGTCTTGAATTGTTACCTTTACGCCAATTTTCTTGTTGTTTCCCTTCTTAACCACTTTACGAGCCGTTGGTTTCAAGATGGCATGTAAAATTGTAATGGTTGCAATATTAAGTTGATCTGGAAGCAGGGACTTATAAATATGGTAGACCTAAGCAGAGTAGGAAACTTTACCGTCGTCTGCTGAATCCGTTTTTAATTTCTTCAGTATTTCCAGGCTGTAATTTTCCTTCACTCTTTCTTGCGATAGTTGCAGGAACTTTGATCGAAATGTTGACCATTGAGTTTCCAAATCGATGATAGTCTCTGGATACTTAAGCTCAAAATCTCGACTTATCTAAACAAAAATGTATAATGAATATTCATTTTGATAACAAAGATACAGATAAGCTTACCAATTCATGTCCAAAACTCTGTCTTAAAATTGGCCATTCTTCAAGAATTGCGTTTAAGTTCTTGCTTCCAGTTTGAATCGACAATTTTCTTTCTGAGAAGGTGTGTTCCCAATGTTCCTTGACTATATTCAATGGGGCAACATTGCATTTGAGCCAGTACTTTGCATTATTATTATAGTTATCGTTCTCTAAATAAAATGCAACAAATTATTAATAATACTACATGTATTTAAGTTTAAAGCACCTTCGTCAGCAGGCTCATCTCCATCGTCTTCAATGTTGACTGTTGACTCAAGGACTCTTCGTTTGGCCAAGGAGTTTCTATACCTGCAGCACAAAACACCTCCAGCTTTTTTATTTTTGATTTGCAGATAGTAAGTCTCCTATCAAAATATAAGTCAATAAATAAACGCGTTTTGAAACTTAAATTTAGAAAAATATTCCTTTCTATTAACATAATATAGTTACTACCTTCACTTCAGTGGGAAACATTTATTTATTTATTTATTTATTTAAAGTTAGCAAATATCTGCCAACATAAACATAGTACCCTACTCACATCAAGTGGAAGGGGGCAGGGACAGGTAGGTTAGGATGTTTGTTACAATTAAATTAACAGAGCATTCCGAGAATATCAAAAAATACAGTTCATTATATTGCGAACATAAAACGCGAAATGGATCATGTAACTCAAAGTTAGTTTTACAAATATCGAGGGCAATTGGTCGAAAGTGCCGAGTAGACCTTACAGGAATGGAGAAACGAATTTGACCAAGAAGGTAGCTTGAATTTACAAGTCCAGTAATTAATTTGTGCAGGAACATAACACCATTTCGACTAATTGCTCTGAAATTTCTTTAAACCTCCTAGGTTGCCAATCGATTCCATTGCTGATTAAAAAATCGCAAATTAAGTTGCTTATCAGTTTGCGGTGACTCGGCTCAAGGTAGCCCTTCTTTCGATAAAGTGCTTGGATGTTTACAAATTGTGGGTATACTTTTAAAATGCCTAAAGCAGAAACCTAGTAGAGGTATAATAATAATTTAGTAATGTAAGGATGAATATTAAAATTCGAATTGTTTTTTTTCTTGCCTGTACTCCGACTTGGCTACTAGCATTATTCCCCTTTTCGCCAATTTGGTTATACCCAATAGGTCTATTTTCAGAAAGTCAATTTTTCTGAAAATTAGTATAGGAATTTTTAGCAACTATAAAAAACACAAACGGGCATTTTTATGACTACAATGCTCACCCATTCATTAAAGCGGTTAACTTCGTGCTCAAATCGAACACGCTCCCCAAACAGATGTTTGGGAACTATTTCCTTTAGGTGTTCACCGGTCAGTAAAAGTATGGTAGTTTCATCAATTCCATGTTCTATTTTTGAAATACAAAATTAATTTTGGCGTTTGGTTTTATATTTACATTAGTCGTACCTTCAAAGCACTCTTTCAGCTTCTCGCATTTAAAATCTTTTAATATTTGTTCCATATCTAAAATAAATGTAAGCCTACTGTAAGCCTACTGCGCAGCACGAACTGAACGAACCCAATACAAGCGTTCATACATATGAAATATATGTATATATATGAGTGAATACAAAAACATTCACTTGCGCATTAGTAAATTTAATGTGGTATATTAACTTATTAGGCCAACATATTAAAGCCTTTTCTTTTACAGTAGAATTTGAAATTGAATAAAGCTACTATAAAGTAAGTGCGCAGTTGCATCTATGAATGTGTGTCAAAACGAAAGTTCTAGAAGAATGCAGATGCATGTATATACGTACATGTGTGTATGTGTGTAAAATGGAAAGTTCCGGGAAAAATGAGTTCCTTACTTTTAATGACCTTTTTCTTACAATTGGGAAGTCTGCAGTTTACTTTTGTGTATACTATCCTTATAACCTGTGTTATTTAGATTACTTACCAGAATATTAATTGATCCAAGCCAGGACACTTGTACACATTCACTTTGACTTTCACGAAATGTAATGCACACTATTATTGTGTATTGTCTTGCGTGCTTCTTCTTCTTGAAGGTCCAGTGTTGGTAATTTCCGTTCGCTATTTTTTGGTCACACTGGCTCAAAAACATAAGCAAACTTAAAATTCAAATTTTTAATTTGTATTTTATCAGCGAAATCAACCGTATGCTATATCTATTGTTACAGTACTCGTTAGTCATTGAAAATAGTCTTCGACCTTTGAGAGAGTATTTTAATTAAGGATTTAACTAGGTTGTTATCGGAATTGATCGATAGCTCAAGAAATATATAAAATTAATTATTTCTTGCGCGGTATTTTTGTGAGCCTAAGTACTGCCGTCAACCAAAATTTTGACACCAAAAATGTTGTGACGTTTTTTATATGAAGTATTTGGTTTTGGACGACTTTTTTTGGGTTGAGTACTAGCCCTTATATCGGATTTTTCAACACTTTTATACAGCTGCCTTATAATACTTAAACATTATCTTTCCTAAAATAGTACCTTAAATAATTTATTAAATACAAATAAGCAATACAATTATTATTTGGTTAGGATCAGCATCAATATTTAACAGACATACTTAGTTAAAAAGGTTTTCAACTGTTAAATATATTTAGGTAAAGTGCAATAATTTTAAGGCCCAAGATGACCTAAAATATTAGGCTATATGTTCCCTAAAAGCTAGGGCAAATAGTCCAAAAATTAAGATTTTTAGGCAGTACATGACCTAAAAATGAACTTTTAGTCCATTTTAAATTTTTTAGGCTATGCATGACCTAAAATTTTGTCCATCATTTTTCTGGGTGTATAAACATATTTATAAGTATAACATTAAAATTAGCAACCAATAGATCATTATTGTCGCTACATAACCCAATAACAAGGCTAAGGCTATAACTATAGTTCAACACACGTGTCAATTTAATCACTATGGACGGCAGTCCATGTAGTGACGAAGCGCACCAGGAGGGTGTGCGAAGGCGACTACTATATATACACGAAGAAATGAAAATCTACTGTGATGGTCCGATCATAATGAATGATACATGAAAGGTATTGCGAAAACTAACAGGATTGCATACCAAGTCTCTAAGAAAATCAATTGGCTTGGGAGAGAGAGCGGTGAAAGTAAAAAAGTGAATATTTCGAAATTTGGAGCTGTTGGGGCCGGTGGGGATAATTGCCCCCTCTCAATGTTTTAGTTGTATTCCTTTTGAAAATACCCGTCGAATGAGGGGTCATTTGTCAAAATCCGACGCTCCGTTCAAAAGTTATAGCCAAAATAAGATTTTCTTCGTCTTCCCAAAATGAAAATTTAATTCTGTTTGTCAGTTTGTCAGTTTGTCAGTTTGTCAGTTTGTCAGTTTGTCCAAAACATGTTTTCTAAGTTTTGAAAATTTGATATGACGTTCATCACATCGATATAAAAAACTTTTGTTCTACCACTTTTGGAAAAACTCGCTAGTTTAGCGGGAAAACAGCTATAAGTAGCTAAAATTCGGAAAGCCGTAACTTCTATACTACTAAAGCTACAGACTTGTGCTGCATCTCGTTTGAAAGGTATTTTGAAATGCTATAAACGCCATTTATATGCAACTTGTGTAAATGTAATAGTTAAGAAAATATGAACAAAAGACAATTTTTTAAAACTTTTTTTAAGCTTTTTTTATTTTTTTCAAAAACGGCTCTAACGATTTTCTTGAAAACTTTAAACTGTATAGCCCTTGAGATTCCTTAAATTTTGGTATATAACACATTACTGTAAAAAGTCACGTTTAAAAGTTATTTTTATACGAAAATAGCCACTTTTGCAAGCTCGAACTACTAACGCTCCCTGAGTATTGAATTTTGTGTGAGGGTATCCGAACTGTATTTTAGGGTCATGGAATCAGTAAATTTGCACTTAAGAGTTCCATATAGGAATCTTTTGTTCTACGACTTTTGGAAAAAGCCGCTACTTTAGCGGGAAAAATCTAAAAATAGCTAAATTTCGTTAGTTTGTAAGTTCTAAACTACTAAAGGTACAGACATGTGCTATAACTCGTTTAAAAGGTATTTTGATAAACTTCATCGCCTTTTTAACTTAATTCGTTAAAATACAATAGTTTAAAAATTATGATTGACCAATTTAAATTTAAATGTATGTATATATTAGCTCCTATGAGAGCAAATGTAAACAAACAAAAACTTCTGATATCAAATAAAAACACCTCTTAACGAGGTAAAAAACTAGTGACGACCGCACCTTCAACATACAAAAGTTCTGATATCAACATTTGTGACGAAAAATTATTACACTCGTCATTAAATAGACTTTCTAATCTTTTCTCATTCGTCACGCTGCAATAGAAAATGCCTGTAAGGGGAAAAAGGCTGGAATAGTTTGCTAGGGCGGGCCGAATGAGAAAAGATTAGAAAGTCTATTTAATGACGAGTGTAATAATTTTTCGTCACAAATGTTGATATCAGAACTTTTGTATGTTGAAGGTGCGGTCGTCACTAGTTTTTTACCTCGTTAAGAGGTGTTTTTATTTGATTCAAACATACCTACACAGTCCTAAAAATCAAAATCTTTTATTTTTCTCAACCGGTTTTCAAAATCAGGCGGCACAATATGGACTCAAATTAAGGACAAGTGTGGAAATCTGGACACCACACCTGACATCTCCTCCAACTCGCCTTGAATGCATTTTGCAGTGACCAAATGCAGTTTAGAAAAGAGTCAAACAATTTGCCAAATGCTGTCAATTTCAAAGTCAATTTAATGCAAAATGCGAAATGTTTGCCATCTTTTTTGATTAGCAATAAACTAATCTTTTCAACGTTGCTGCTGCTGCCGCTGCAGTTGTCGTTGGCCAGACAATCGGAGTGGGAGGACTGGGGCTCGGATTCTCTATCACGAGTCTGTGCATTTTTCAACAGAGAATCTCATCAATGGCCAGCTCACACAATGGCAACAACGATGATTGCCCAGTGTGTGGTCGTGGTCAGTGGCCAGGACGAATCCTTTCCACCGCATTCGCATTCGCTTTCAGATTTCAGGGATTTCGTACGAAAAATATGTTTATTTAGAATATCAAAAACCGAAAGTAATCGATTTAATAAACTGTCACCAACATGTGACCCACCGGGCTGTATTGTATTGCGGCTTGTCTGGTCCTCGGTCAGGCCATCTCAAGTCACGATAATTGCAAATGTATCTCAAAGATACACACAACCAAAGAGCACACACAGCTGACTGCATTGACGTTCACTTTGGACAACATTTCATAA